GCTAGCTGCGTTATATTCTTTTGAGAGTGGATTTTTCTCCTTCTTAAAGGCTCTCTCCATCATTTTTTGTAATATAGCATCTGCTTTATCCCAGCTGTCTTTCTTTTAAAAACACATTTAATCATGTCTATTATGATAACTGGGACACATCTGTCCCTCCATCCATCTTTTAATAAAAAGCCCCACTTATTTCAGTGACAGAGCATCCATTCATCCCCCTCCTGTTTCATTTAGTTAGCACGCACTGCCAGAAGGACACTAGACAGGCCAGCTCCAAGAAAAAGAAAACATGCACATATTAGGAAGACCTCTTTTCTATTGCTCCTTTCTCCTTTATCTACCACTGAATGAATACCGAGGAAGACACCATTTAATTTAGGTAAGTCTCTTTCAAAAAACAACAGGTGATCCTTTCCTGGAGTATTCTTTTTAAGTGAAACTACATCTTAAACTAAACTTTTCAGCAACCTACCATTTCTCCACACAGAAAGGGTATCTTAAAAGTCTGTGCCCCAACATCACAAGATATAATGAAGGCACAACAGTTTGTGTATCCAAAACAATATCTCCTTTTGTTAAGCAGCTTAGGCCTGTGTAGTGATCCTGCTGTGGATTAAGGCGGCAGGAGTAAGGAAAAAATAAAGCATGTCAAATAGGACGTCGTGTTTTAGGAGTATACTGCCCTGTCCATGGGAATTGTATTAGCAGCTAACTAACTCATTTACATTTGAGGCGTCTAGCCGACACAATCATGCACAGCCATTTCCTGCAGAGCTAATGAAAGGTTAAGAGCACACGGGTGATTCGTATATATGCAACTAGCCTAATAAAAAAAGACCAAAAGAGATTTTTTACAACAGATACAGATCATGTCCACATAACACAACCTGTCATATCATTGTGAATCTCTCAAGACTTTTCAAATAAAGTCTTGCATCTTAATCCCAGGTCCAAAGACTTCTGCCATACAGAGAGCTGTTCTATGTCAAGCTCAATACAATGTTTCACTGTGGTCAGATTTCGCTTCATCAACGGGACAAAATGAGCCTTTGGTCTAACTTTAGTAGGTCATCGCCTGAGGAATGCAGCATTTTATAAAACAAACCAGTGCTTGAAAATGAGACACTTACATATTTGTAAACCTTTCAAGTGTGTTTAAGAGTCAGGCCTTAGTGAAGGAGGCTCTATATTGACACTCAAATTCTGACAACGTTTTATTTGAAACATAATATTAAATATAACCGGACCAGGTAACCCGCCATGTTTTAGTCACATAGTAATAAGCCTTGAAGTACTATGTCACCTCATTAAACTGAATGACATCACTATAACTTGCCTTTAAAGGTTCATCCTTTGTATTTTAGCTGAACTGGTCCTGCTGCTGAAATGTATTTTTGTCTGTAGATTGGTTAGTAGCAAGGTTTAAAATTAGGGCCGAACAACTCATTGAAATCAAACTGAAATTGTTTTGTAATGAAAATGGTACAAGATATAACGTCGCCTGAGCCTCACGCACACACACTGCCTTACACTCCACATGACATAAGAAAGCTATTGAATCGAGAAACCAACTTTTTTAAGGCCAAGCCACCCCCAAAGCTACAAGAGGTAACTTTGGTGTCTATATCCATAATAACCCTCAGTGTTTTCATTGCAATCTAGGGAAAATATTCGGTATGGGCCCTTCGGTTCGGTTCACGTGTGTACCGAAGTGTACCAAACGAATATAACGTTAAATGTAAAAAATTGAGAAAGTGAAAAAAAAATTGGAAGTAATCTCAGGTTCTGCCTTGCAGTGTTCGAGTAGCATGTTCCTGCAGCCCATGCTCCGAGGCTGCATGAACGCAGCGTTCAGTGTAATTTCAACGCGTCATAGAGCGACCAAGTCATTTAATTAAACGAGAGGCATACTATGAGAGCTGGTCACAGGGATGCGTTCAAATTTAGTCAGTAGTTTGGGGAACTGTCGAAATGGCGAACGTAAATAAAGTTGAGCTCGAAAATCCTCCAGCATCATTGAAGTGTCCGGTTTGGGAACATTTTGGTTTCGCAGTTACGTACAAGGATGACGGACAACGACAGGTGGACCGAACCAAACTGTTTGTCTGCATTGTTCAACTAAAATTGATTACGCGGCTGGCAATACATCAAACTTGCACACTCATTTGAAAAGGCATCACCCGAACGTGAATATCACCGGTACCAAAAGAAAAAAGACTGAAGTGCAAACCCAACTCCCGCTAGCATTTAAGCCTCCACCACTCGCAAAAAGTTCAGTGCCATGTTAGCAAAGCGTTACCTGGCTGTATCTGACTGCT